CTCCTCCTCCTCCTCCTCCTCCTCCTCCTCCTCCTCCTCCTCCCTCCTCCTCCTCCTCCTCCTTCCCTCCTCCTCCTCCCCCCCTCCTCCTCCTCCTCCCTCTCCTCCTCCTCCTCCTCCTCCTCCTCCTCCTCCTCCTCCTCCTTCCCTCCTCCTCCTCCTCCTCCTCCTCCTCCTCCTCCTCCTCCTCCCCTCCTCCTCCTTCCCTCCTCCTCCTCCTTCCCCTCCTCCTCCTCCTCCTCCTCCTCCTCCTCCTCCTCCTCCTCCTCCTCCTCCTCCTCCCTACCACATGTACCGGTGATTGGGCGTTTATGCACCCGGCGCTCTCACCTTATTCTGTAGCTCGGAGGTCATGTAGGACCTCTGCTTCTCACTGTAGCGGGTGAACAGAGTTGTGGGGCAGTGAAGGGACGGCAGTTATAAACCGGTGGGGGTTAGTGCAGTTCATACACCAACATCAGTATGAAAATGTGCTTAGTATGTCCCCCTCCCCCCGATGACGTCATCCTGCAGAATTGTGATCACATGAAATGGTGTTTGCACAGGTTATACGCATGATTTTCTCACACATGTGACATGTCCCGAATGATGACACACATTCTCCAGGCTCAGTCTATGATGGTCTCCGGCAGTTCTAGACCATAGAAAGGGAAATATCACTCTGAAAGGAGATCAGATCAATCCTAATTTTCAAATATCACCAATCCGTGTCTGGGCAAATACTTATATATATGCAGTACATGCCTGTCATACAGGCACCTTTTCCCAGGTTTTACCCCTTTAAAAGTACTGGACAATGGCTGGTGGTGTTACCAGAAATCCACGAAGCTCCCAACTTCCTGTACTGAGCTGACAACTCTGCTTCACTGAAATGCCAAGAAGTGTTGTCAGGATTTCTTCCCAGCTGGACATCTCCACCTTGGGCCTTTTGTGGGGCCCTCTGCTTGGGGCCTTTTGTGGGCCCCTCTGCGGGCCCCTCTGGGGCCTTTTGTGGGCCCCTCTGCTTGGGGCCTTTTGTGGGCCCCTCTGCGGGCCCCTCTGCCTGGGGCCTTTTGTGGGCCCCTCTGCCTGGGGCCTTTTGTGGGCCCCTCTGCCTGGGGCCTTTTGTGGGCCCCTCTGCCTGGGGCCTTTTGTGGGCCCCTCTGCCTGGGGCCTTTTGTGGGCCCCTCTGCCTGGGGCCTTTTGTGGGCCCCTCTGCCTGGGGGGCCTTTTGTGGGCCCCTCTGCCTGGGGGGGCCCCTTGCCTGGGGCCTTTTGTGGGCCCCTCTCCTGGGGCCTTTTGGGGGGGGCCTTTTGTGGGCCCCTCTGCCTGGGGGGCCTTTTGTGGGCCCCTCCGCCTGGGGGGCCTTTTGTGGGCCCCTCTCTCGGGGGGCCTTTCCGTGGCCCCTCTGCCTGGGGGGCCTTTCCGGGCCCCTCTGCTTGGGGCCGTGGGCCCCTCTGCTTGGGGCCTTTTGTGGGCCCCTCTGCTTGGGGCCTTTTGTGGGCCCCTCTGCTTGCCTTTTGTGGGCCCCTCCGCTGGGGGCCTTTTGTGGGCCCCTCCGCCTCGGGCCTTTCCGCGGGCCCCTCCGCCTCGGGGCCATTCCGCGGGCCCCTCCCCCTCGGGGCCTTTTCCGCGGGCCCCTCCCCCTCGGGGGCCTTTTCGCGGGCCCCTCCCCCTCGGGGCCTTTTCGCGGGCCCCTCCCCTATATGAATGCAAACCTTACCAGATATCCACTGAGCTCCCAACTTCCTGTACTGAACTGACAATTCTGCTTCACTGGAATCCCAAGAAGTGTTGTCAAAATGTCTTCCTAGCTGGACTGCAGAACATCTCCATTTGCGGGCCCCTCCGCCTGGGGGCCTGCCCGGGCCCCTCCCCTATATGAATGCAAACCTTACTGGAAGAAAAAAAAATCAAAAACTTTGCAGTAGGCTTGTATGGGGATGATACATTCACCAGAAGAGACTGAGAGCCCGTTGTCGGGGGCCCGTTGTCGGGGCCCGTACTATTCAGGCTGGGTCAGCTCTGTAGCGGTGATGATGGGATGGAGCACAACCTCAGGACAGATCTCAGGGGCCAACACTGGAACTTTACTGGAAGTTTTGATATCTGGTCTCTGTAAAGCACATCCAGGAGTCGGCTATCGTGCGCTTTCAGCATTTTTCCAGCTTTTTGGACAGGATTCTTCATCATTTCTTTTCTGTGGGCATAGAAATATTAAGTAGAAAGCAGTTCTGTCACAATTTATAAAGGATTAAACTGAAACTCTTCAGTAAACTTCACGGAAAGGTTTGCTAAATGCTGGAACGAATCGCTAGGCAACAAATGAAGAGCAATGAGCTCAACTACTTCCACCGAACTCTGATTTCGGCGTAGCCCCCAGTGAGCAATCGCTGCCTCAGGCGGCATCTCGCCCACCACAGTCTATCCAACTTCATCTTCCCGTGTAGCCCCTGCAGACTCCAGGATCCTCAGATCACCTTCTGCTCTTGGGATTTTTTTATTTTTTGTCCTCTTATTGCAATCCTTCTTTGTCTTTTCTTTTTCCATCCAGTACAGCAGGATTTCACAGCCAGGGTTCTGTGGAGGCCTAGGGTTCCTCCAGAGGTTGCTAGAGATTCCTTGAGCAATTTCTACCTCTCAGATAAGTTCCCACTGACGACATTGATCTATTTGTAAATTATTATTATACAGTATTTATAAAGTGCCAACAGTTCGCTCAGCGCTGTACATTACAATGGGAGACAATACATGAGACGGTACAATACCAATACAATGTGATACATGAGGGGATCGAGGGCCCTGCTCCTTGGAGCTTACAATCTAGGAGGGAGGGGATGGTGGTACAGGAGGAAGTGGCTGTGGGGGATGGAGTGGTAGGAGGAGTGGAGGAGATCGGCAATTAGCAGGGGGCGGGGTAGGCTTCCCTGAAGAGATTGGTTTTCAGGGTGCGCCTAAAGGAGAGGAGAGTAGGTGATAGTCTGATGGATTGGGGTAGGCAGTTCCAGAGGATGGGTGATGCCCTGGAGAAGTCCTGGAGGCGGGCATGGGAGGAGGAGACCAGGGAACTAGAGAGAAGGAGGTCTTGTGAGGAGCGGAGTGTGCTTGTTGGGTGGTACTTGGATATTAGGTCGGTGATGTAGTTCGGGGCAGTATGGTGGACGGCTTTGTACATCAGCGTTAGGATTTTGAATTTTATGCGTTGGGCAATCGGAAGCCAGTGGAGGGATTGGCAGAGGGGGGTGGCGGAGATGGAGCGGTTGGAAAGGTGAATGAGTCTGGCAGCCGTATTTAGGATAGACTGAAGCGGGGATAGCCTGTGGCGAGGCAGGCCAGTGAGGAGGGAGTTGCAGTAGTCGAGGCGTGATATGGTGAGGGAGTGGATGAGTTGCTTAGTAGTTTCAGGGGTTAGGAATGGGCGTATTTTGGAGATGTTGCGGAGGCGGAGTCTGCATGAATTTGTTAGCGATTGGACATGGGGCTGGAAGGACAGATTGGAGTCTAGAATGACACCAAGTACTCTGGCTTGCGGGGTGGGACTGGTGGTGGCATTGTTGGACGTGATGGAGAAGTCAGTGGGGAGTGGTGTGCGGGCTGGGGGGAAAACTAGGAGCTCAGTTTTGGAGAGGTTCAGTTTAAGGAAGTGGAGCGACATCCAATCTGATATGTCGTTCAGTAGGCTTGTGATTCGGGTGGAGACTGAGGGGGTGAGGTGGGGGGTCGAGAGATTTGCATGTCGTTGACATAGAGGTGGTAGTTAAAGCCATGAGAGTGTATGAGTTGGCCAAGGGAGGAGGTGTAGATGGAGAAGAGAAGGGCCCGAGGACAGAGCCTTGAGGGACCCCAATAGAGAGGTGGAGTGAGGGGGAGGTGGTAGCGTTATAGGTAACGCTGAAGGAGCGTTGTGATAGGTGGGACGAGAGCCAGGAGGGAGCGGAGTCTCTGAGGCCGAGGGAGTGTAGTTTTTTGAGGAGGAGGGGGTGGTGGACTGTGTCGAAGGCCACAGAGAGGTCAAGGAGTAGGAGCACTGAATAGTGGCCATTAGCTTTGGCAGTTAGCAGGTCGTTGGAGAGTTTGAGTAAGGCGGTTTCGGTGGAGTGTAGGGGACGGAAGCCGGACTGTAGGGGGTCGAGGAGATTGTTGTCGTTGAGGTGAGAGCATAGGCGGGTGTAGACTAGGCGCTCGAGGAGTTTGGATGTAAATGGCAGCAGGGAGAAGGGTCTGAGGTTGTTCAGGTCAGTATGGTCCAGGGAGGGCTTTTTAAATATGGGAGTGATGTGCTCGTGCTTCAGAGGGGAGAGGAATGTGCCGGAAGAGATTAAAGATGTGGGTGAGGGAGCGTAGGATGGAGGAAGAGGGAGGTCGTAGGAGTTGTGAGGGAATAGGGTCGAGGGGGCAGGTGGTGAGGCGGACTTCAGAGAAGACCTTGGTGACCTCCTTAGTGGTAGTAAGGTCGAAGGAGTGGAGTGTTGAGGGGGGCTGCAGTATGAGGGATGTTAGGTGGGTAATTCTTCCTACTGACCACCAATGTCAGGGACATTCTTCCCACTGACCACCAATGTTAGGGACATAATTCCCACTGACCACAATGTTAGGGACATAATTCCCACTGACCACCAATGTTAGGGACATAATTCCCACTGACCACCAATGTTAGGGACATAATTCCCACTGACCACCAATGTAAGGGACATTCTTCCCACTGACCACCAATGTTAGGGACATAATTCCCACTGACCACCAATGTAAGGGACATTCTTCCCACTGACCACCAATGTAAGGGACATTCTTCCCACTGACCCCAATGTAAGGGACATTCTTTCCACTGACCACCAATGTAAGGGACATTCTTCCCACTGATCACCAATGTAAGGGACATTCTTCCCACTGACCCCAATGTAAGGGACATTCTTCCCACTGATCACCAATGTAAGGGACATTCTTCCCACTGACCCCCAATGTAAGGGACATTCTTCCCACTGATCACCAATGTAAGGGACATTCTTCCCACTGATCCCCAATGTAAGGGACATTCTTCCCACTGACCCCCAATGTAAGGGACATTCTTCCCACTGACCCCCAATGTAAGGGACATTCTTCCCACTGACCCCCAATGTAAGGGACATTCTTCCCACTGACCACCAATGTAAGGGACATTCTTCCCACTGACCCCCAATGTAAGGGACATTCTTCCCACTGATCCCCAATGTAAGGGACATTCTTCCCACTGACCCCCAATGTAAGGGACGTTCTTCCCACTGATCACCAATGTAAGGGACGTTCTTCCCACTGACCACCAATGTAAGGGACGTTCTTTTTCCCACTGACCCCCAATGTAAGGGACGTTCTTCCCACTGACCCCCAATGTAAGGGACGTTCTTCCCACTGACCCCCAATGTAAGGGACGTTCTTCCCACTGACCCCCAATGTAAGGGACGTTCTTCCCACTGACCCCCAATGTAAGGGACATTCTTCCCACTGACCCCCAATGTATGGGACGGTTCTTCCCACTGATCCCCAATGTAAGGGACATTCTTCCCACTGACCCCCAATGTAAGGGACATTCTTCCGACTGACCCCCAATGTAAGGGGGTTCCTCCCACTGACCCCCCAATGTAAGGGACGTTCTTCCCACTGACCCCCAATGCAAGGGACGTTCTTCCCACTGACCCCCAATGCAAGGGGCGTTCTTCCCACTGACCCCCAATGCAAGGGGCGTTCTTCCCACTGACCCCCAATGCAAGGGGCGTTCTTCCCACTGGCCCCCAATGCAAGGGGCGTTCTTCCCACTGGCCCCCAATGCAAGGGGCGTTCTTCCCACTGGCCCCCAATGCAAGGGGCGTTCTTCCCACTGGCCCCAATGCAAGGGGCGTTCTTCCCACTGGCCCCCAATGCAAGGGGCGTTCTTCCCACTGGCCCCCAATGCAAGGGGCGTTCTTCCCACTGGCCCCCAATGCAAGGGGCGTTCTTCCCACTGGCCCCCAATGCAAGGGGCGTTCTTCCCACTGGCCCCCAATGCAAGGGGCGTTCTTCCCACTGGCCCCCAATGCAAGGGGCGTTCTTCCCACTGGCCCCCAATGCAAGGGGCGTTCTTCCCACTGGCCCCCAATGTAAGGGGCGTACTTCCCACTGGCCCCCAATGTAAGGGGCGTTCTTCCCACTGACCCCCCAATGTAAGGGACATTCTTCCATACCATACCTCATGGTTGGATTTCTGCCCATTTGCTTCTATGTACATGTGAGCATGTTATCTAATGAAATCTTTTTTGGTTTTAACTTCCTACACTGATAGGCCTTCCACTTTTCTTCTATGAGGTGCAGTCCTGTATGGCTGTGATGGTGGTACCTGCAGATGTGGAGTTTGCTAGGTACTGTAATGTCTGCTACGTTCTGGGAAGAGCCTCCTTGACTGCAGAATGTAATTTATGGAAAAGGTGAACTTTCTTTGCTGTAAGCTGGATCTGGGGTGCGATGCCATTCAGTGAGTGCAGCGCCATGGCACACAATGCACCTGCCCTGTAGTTCACCACAATGCACATCGTACACAGTGGCTCAGTGGTCAGGACAGTTTTTGAAGTTCTAAGACCATCAAATTCAAAATGATTTGCCTGCCCCAACGCACAGTGTGGACAGGCCCATCCAGCGGGGTGTCAGGTGAGCAACACTCATGTTTACTGTCATGGACCATAACGGACATTTCTGCTGTGGTCTCTCCAGGCTCTGAAGACCACCTTAGCTCCCTGGGCATGTTCTTTAGTATAAAGTAGTCCTGACACCTTGAAGTTCCTGTTTAGTAAATTCTGTTGAGTGGAAACTGCTGAGCAGGTGTGGAGAGTCGGTACCATTCCGTCTCCTTCTCGTGTTATAATGACTGTGAAATTATTAATGCAGAAGCGCTAAAGATGGCACAGTGACACCTCGTCACACAATCACTCGTCTGTGCCAAGAAAACGACCTGATTTATTATATAACAGGGTCAGAAGTGGAGTCCGCCTCCTCACATGGCATGCACCGATCAGCCATAACATTATGACCACCCTCCTAATATAGAGTGACCACCAAATCAGCCCCGACCCTTTGAGGAATAGACTCCTCTAGACCTCTGAAGGTATGTTGTGGTATCTGCCACCAAGCTGTCAGTACAAGATGTTTTTAGGTCCTGTGGTGAGATGGGGCTTCCATGGAATTGTTTTTCCAGCACATCACACATATGCTCAGTTGGACTGAGATCTGGAGAATTTGTAGGCCACTTTTTTAAATTGCTCCGTGGTCCAGTTCTTATGCCCACATGCCCATCGTAGGCACTTTTAGCTGTGGAAATGGGTCAGCAGACACCCTGATAGGTCCACGTCTACACAGCCCCATACAGTATCCCCATGTAGGATCTGACTGCACAGGCCAGCCTTCCCTCGCCACCTCCTGTCAGTGAGCCCTTCCCCCCCTCGCCACCTCCCGTCAGTGAGCCCTTCCCCCCTCGCCACCTCCCGTCAGTGAGCCCTTCCCCCCTCGCCACCTCCCGTCAGTGAGCCCTTCCCCCCTCGCCACCTCCCGTCAGTGAGCCCTTCCCCCCTCGCCACCTCCCGTCAGTGAGCCCTTCCCCCCTCGCCACCTCCCGTCAGTGAGCCCTTCCCCCCTCGCCACCCTCCCGTCAGTGAGCCCTTCCCCCCCTCGCCACCTCCCGTCAGTGAGCCCTTCCCCCCTCGCCACCTCCCGTCAGTGAGCCCTTCCCCCCCTCGCCACCTCCCGTCAGTGAGCCCTTCCCC